GAACTCACAGAGATCTGCCTGCCTCTGCCTCCCAAGTGCTGGGATTAAAGGCATGTGCTACCACTCCTGGCCTCTAAATGATTTCTTTAAAAATGTGAATATAGAGGTCCAGAGAGATGGCTCAGCAAGTAGAGGGTCTTGTATCAAACCTGACCACCTAAGTTAGAGTCTTGGAACCCACGGTGGTGGAAGGAGAGAACTGGCTCTCACAAATTGTCTTCTGGCCACATGCTGTAGTACATGTGCAATCACATATATAAAGACACACTTACAAATAAATAAATACAAAATTAGTTAAATATGTAATGTGAATATATATATAAATATAGAGGCATCATGGTCTAATCTAAAAACTAAAAGGTTTATCATCAAATAAGTGTTGACTCTGAACTTACCATTGACTTTGAATCTCTCAAGTCTCACTTTGGTCTCTGATCACCCTGCTTATCATGGGAAACAAGAATCCTTCTAGGAAGGGCTGGAATTTTGAGTAAAGGATGCAGTAAGCCTCTGAGGGTTCTAAGGTTCTCAGTGTTCCTCACCTTTGGTTTGTGGTGGTTTGGACCTCAGTGAAGACAGTCTCTCTGAGCCAGCAGACAGCATTGGCTGCCCTCTCACTGTTCTCTCTAACACACCCTCCCCTCCTCTGCTCACCAGTCCCCGCGTCAGCGTAGTCGGGCAGGGGAAGATGTCCCTACTAGGTCAGCTTCTACCTGTTCTGGGCCTGGAGAAGGAAACTTGGAAGAAAGTTGTAAACAGGTAGATTGAGAACCGTGTGCTAATTCTAAACAACACACCTTTCTGTTTGCATTAGATTATTAATACCAGTGACCCTTGTAAGACTTCTGGGAAAATACTGAAGAAACCTACAATTAATATGTGAATGTGTGTGCCCCTGTGTCAGTATTGGTGTTGTAATGTTTTATGATTAACCACCTTCCTAGTGGAATGGTTTCACAGTATAGACTACTACTGTTTTAATAGACTGGGAAAAGGAGAACCATAAAATAATATTTAGCTACTAGGGAGATGAGATAACCTGAGCTTGATCCTCAGAATTCACATTGAAAAAAAAGAAAAAAAGCTAGGGTTTCAGCAAGATGGTTCAGCTAATAAAGGTGCTTGATTCCAAGCCTGAGGACCTGAGTTTGGTCCTTGGGACCCATGTGGTATAAGGAGAGAAATGATTCTCACAAATTTTCCTCTGGTTTCCACATGCACACATGGTCTAGTTTGTTTCTCCATTGCTGTGACAAAATACTTTGACCAATACCAACTTAGGGAGGAGTTTATTCAGCTTACATCTCCCAGGTCACAGTTCAACACAGAGAAAGCCCGAGGCAGGTACCTGGAACCTGGAGGCAGGAGCTGGAGCACAGGCCATGGAGGAATGTTGCTTACTGGCTTGCTCCCCTGGCCCCTGCTCAGCCTGATTTCTTATACAACACAGGCCCACCTGCCCAGGGGTGGCACCACCCACAGTGGGCTGGGCCCTCCCACATCACTCAACAATCAAGAAGATGCCCCATAGACATGGCCACAGGCCAGTTCAATGGAGGCAGTTCGACAGTTGAGGCTCCCTCAACCCAGGTGTGTCAAGTTGACAACTAAAGCTATCCAGCACAACACACATCATTAATTTTTTAGAAGCTGGATATGGTGTTGCACACTTGTAATCCTAGCACCTAGGAATGCAGAGACAAGATTATCCCTGGGCTTCTTAGCTAGCCATTCTTGCTTGAAAGAATTCCTTTCTGTTGTAAGGCACAAAGCTGCCAACCAGATGATGGCCTTAGAAAGTCTCATCAGATACAATGAAATCTGAAAAATCTTTCATAGCCATACCTCCAAATTTCTAGTATGGGGGAGAATCCTTTTTTTTTTTTTCCTCCCGTCTTTTTGAGACAGGGTCTCCCTGTAGCCCCAGCTGGCCTGGAACTCACTATGTAGACCAGGTTGGCCTTGAACTCACAGAGATCCACCTGCCTCTGCCTCCCAAGTGCTGGTAAAGACATGTGCCATGCCCAGAGAGAATCACTTACCTTTAAGCTGCTACTTAACCTTTAAATGGCCCCGCAGTTGTCCAGTAGAAAAAGTTAACAAGTGGCTAGAAGATGGCACAGTGGGTAAAAGTGCTTACTGTGCAAACATGAGGACCTGAGTTTAGAGTCCCAACACCCAAGTAAAATAGCCAGGCATGTGCTAGGCAGGCACTGGGGGAGCAGAGACAGGCAGATCCCAGGAGCACACTGGCCAGCCAGCTTAACCAAATCAGTGACCAGGTTCAGTGAGAAACTCTGTCTCAAAAAATAAGGTTAAAGCAAGGTGTGGAGGCACACACCTTTAACCCCAGCTACTCGGGAGGCAGAGGAAGGCAGAGCTCTGAGATAGAGGCTGGCCTGGTCTACACAGCAAATTCTAAGCCAGCTGGTGCTAGAGGGAGACCCTGTCTCAAAAAAAAAAAAAAAATCCTGTTCATCTATATGTGTAAAATGAACAAATACTACCCCAACCTGTTACAATTTCAAATTTTGCTGGATTTCTATTTGAATTGTTTTAAAATTCAGCATTGTGGGACTGGAAAGATGGCTCAGCACTTGCTCTTCTTGGAGAGGAGAATTCAGTTCCCAGCACTCTAAACAGCTTACAACAGCCTGTAACTCCAGCTACAGTGTATCCAGCGCCCTCTTCTGGCCTTCCTGGGAACCTGTACTCATGTGCACATACCCACACACAGACACATACACAAATACATAATTAAAAATAATAAAAATACATCTTTTAAAAATTAAAAAATGAATAAAGGAGGCTGGAAAGATAGTTCAGCAGTTGAGAGTGCTTGCTTTTCTTGCAGAGGATCTAACACCATCATCTGGCCTTTGAGAGCAGCACACATGTACACACAAACTTTGAGAAAAAGTGGGTTAGAATTAAATGTCTACTGTACATTTTATTTCCCCAAGTAGATAAATATTATTCATGATAAACAGCTGAGAACTTACACACTGTCTAGGCCTACAGGCCTGCTATTCTTAAAAGATCCTATTTTTCAATTTGCTTCATGAAAAACCTCAAGTTAGTTTGCAGAGCCACATAACATATTCTGGGAGAAATGTAGTCTCTTAAATAAAGACAGTGGCACATTTCACATAAAAATAGACTATTCATTGATGCAGTGGGGCTGGGGATATAGCTCAGTTAGTAGTGTGCTTGCCTAGTATGCTCAAAGCCCTGGGTTCAATCCCCTGCCCCTCATAGAACAGACATGATCATGCATACCTGTAATCTCAGGAGGCGGAGGCAGGAGAATCAGGAGTTCAAAGTCAACCCCAGCTACATAGCAGGCTCAGGCCCAGCCTGGATTCTGAATCTCTAAAAATAAAAAGAATGCAGTGATAGATTTTACGGTTTTCAGGTGCCAGCTTCTATCCACAAAATTTAAGCCCCTGTGTTTTCTTACCACGCTGATAGCACGCTTGTTTTTCCTTGCTGAAAGTCCAGCTTGGTGCTTGCTTTTGCCTCGTCATATAATTTTTCTGCATGTTTTTTTTTTTCTAACAGCTAATGAAAGTTTTTTAGCTACACACTTACTTTGCATGGTTATTGAAGTTTGTTTTGCTATGCGAATCACATCAACAGTGCATTTAAATTGTTGTGAAATAGATTCCTTTAGATGATGCTTATTTTCAATAAAGAAATCTAAGAAAGTATGTTTTATTATAATATAGCCAATAATGATGTTTTTTGCTTGTCATAAGAATGCACTGGCCACTTGTAATCTAATTTGGAAAGACTAGTGACAGCATTTGGCGAGCAAGGAGGAAAATAGCTTTTGGCTTTTCAGCTTTGGAATGCTGAAAAAAAAATTATCCCCCCAAAAACATTATTCTAACAGTTTTTATTTGAGCCTTTCTTTTTCACCCCCCCCCCTTCACCAGGTGCAAAAAATAATTTTGTCTTCACTGGACCTAGAATTGCTTTTAACATTGTAGAAGTAGGGAAATATTTTTTGCAATATTTATGAAGGTGTTCTCATCAAGCACATTTTTATGTAATAGTCCATGTCATGGGAAAAAAAAAGTGCAACCCTAAAAATGATAGTCTTTGAAAAGATTTTATAGCTAGTTAAAATGAAAGGGAACTATTACATCCTTAGAAATAGCTTTGTGTAATAGCTTTTCCCTTCTCCTTAACTCTTAGAATTTAACAAATGCCAATTGGTATCTACTAGAAGTTTCTTTTGGCTTAGCTTTTGAAAGTCAACCTCCTAATTAATTTCTCAGGCACTGGGCTTTAAGCCCTGATCACCTGCGGCAGCTAAGTGGAGCCTCAGAAGGCGTGCTGCCTGCCGGAAAGCCCCAGTCTCACAGGCTACTCTTGCTTTTGCTCATTGCTTTTATCACCCACCATCATTATCGAGTGGTCCTACAGTGTGTTGTCTGACTAATTAAACACTTTCCAGAAGGCAAAGGTACATTTTAAATTTCTACCACTGAATATCCACTTTCCCCAAAGTCTCTCTTCTTGGTTCATATGTATAAAAGAAGGGATTTTTCATGTTTTTCTTAACACTTTGTAGTTTCTTAGTCAGTGGGTGGACTGCCCCAGGATAACCCAACAGCAGCTTGTCTAGAAGCTTGTCTTCCCAAGATGCACTGCCAGCCTGTCCAGTTTTTCATTTAGAGTGAGAGTAATCTTAAGCCTTTAATTTCTTTATTGTTCTGATTACTATTTACCAGCTTCCTTCCTAGTACTAGACAACAAAAGAAACGTGTCAAGACTTTGTTATTAATATACTGTTGAAATCCAAGTCTAAGGCCTTAAAATGGAAGTAAGGAATATTCCAGATTAAAGTTGAGCTACCTGTGACTGATGGTATCATTTTCTCCCAGATTTTAATTATACAAAAATGTTTCTTTCGGGAACAACTTCAGTGAACATTTTACAGACCAAGGTGTGCCACTGTACGTGACATCCCTTAATTGTGGCTTCTTTTGTAGGCAGCACAGATCGTGCTAATCTCTCTGTTTGAATTGAACACTCCTGAATTTACCATGTTACTTGGTGCCTTGCCAAAAACATTCCAGGATGGTGCCACCAAACTCCTGCATAACCACCTCAAAAACTCCAGTAACTCCAGTGTGGTAAGTGTCCTGGTTACAGTTAGGTCATGACTTCCATATGACCCTCATCTAACTCCCAGGCTGATTGGCAGTGCTCAGCTTACTTTCTCTTTTCAGTCTAGGACCCCAGCCCATGGAATGATACCACCCATGATCAGGGTTGATCTTCCCATCTGAATTAATCCTATCTAGGAAGTCGCTCACAGACATGCCCAGATGTTTGTCTCCTAGGCAAGTCTATATCTTTTCAGGTGGATAATCATTATGAGCCATCAGAAGCTGATATGCAGGAATTCCTGGAGCTCAATGATTGATAACAGTTATCATCCATACAGCTGATGCCTCTAGTCACTGGGCAGATCCTACCCATTTGCACATGGATTAGAAGACAGCAGGAGGAGTGGTATTGGGTTCTTTGGAAAGCTTTTGAATAATGGTACCTATGCTGCCTTTGTCCCAGGGATCTCCAAGCAATACAATTGGACGGACACCCTCCCGACACCCCAGCAGTAGGACCAGCCCCCTGACCTCACCCACCAACTGTTCCCATGGGGGGCTATCTCCAAGGTAAGCTCACTGTTATAGAAGTGAGACACAAAAGCATCCATTGCCTGTGCAGCCTGTTTGTAGATTTTTAGATTTAAATTTGATAGCAGAGCACTAGGAATCAGTACTGATCCTCCTCTCATAACTCTGTGGTACAGTAGTTTGTACTCAGTATTCTCTCTGTGGTTCTTATAACTCTAAACACTGTCTAGTACCTCAAATTTTAAACTGAAGGTCACATTTAGTACTGCTTTATGTAGAATGCATGAGGAAGCCAATCAGCTGTGCTCTAAGGAACGAGAGCGCCTGACAGCATTTACTGAGTTATAAACATTTCTGAGTCCACAACAAATTAGGGATAGTTTTCTAATTAAGTAGTTGCTCTAAACTTGCCCATAGCCTCCTTAAAGCAAAACACTGCTTGAAAGAACTGTGATTCAGAGTCTGAGCATTAAACAGATCAGCATATCCAGATTCCTGTTGGGACTGTGTGTGGTGTCCTTATTTTATGGTTTGGTTTTTAAGATAGGATCTGCTGTGTAGGTAGCCCCAGTTAGCCTGAAATGTGCTGAGTATATTCTGTCGCTAGGCTGTTGGGATTACAGTCATGGGGCACCTTGCCCAGCAGTGGGGTAGTGATTTCAAAGAGAAAGTGTTTTGTCTTAGGACCTGTTAGAAGTCTTAATGGTGGCTTTCATGACTCCTTCACGTGAGTTGGAATTATCCAGCCCCTCAGAGTAATGGCTCTATAAGGCCATAATTGTTCTGCACCAACAAGGATCATACATTAGGTCTTTGGGCCCACTAACCATGAGAACCCAGGAGGTGTTTGTCATGAGGGTACTGTCACAGGGTCTTAAAATGCAACAAGAATGTTCAAAGTGTTCTAGTTTCTCCATTGCTGTAACAGAACACTCTGACCAATACCAGCTTGGGGAGGAAAGGGTTTATTCAGCTTACATCTTCCAGGTCACAGTTACCAATAAGAGAGCCCAAGGTAGGAACTCAGGGCAGGAACCTGGAGGCAGAAGCTGAAGCACAGGCCATGGAGGAACGCTGCTTACTGGCTTGCTCCTCTGGCCCCTGCTCAACCTGCTTTCTTATATAACATAGGACCACCTGCCCAGGGGTGGCACCACTCACAGTGGCCTGGGCCCTCCCACATCACTCAATAATCATGAAGATGCCTCAACAAACATGATTACAGGCCAGTCCAATGGAGGAAATTCACCAATTGAGGCTCCTTCTACCTAGGTGTGTCAAGCTGACAACTAAAGCTAGCCAGCACAATTGACCCCTTGTCAACTTGACACACAATCACTATTAAACCACAACCTTTCCATTTCTTGTCCCCAAGATATGTTAACAATATCACAACATAAGACAGTACAACTTTAAAAGTCTCACAGTTCTTAAAAAAAAAAAAAAAAATCCAACACTTAAAAGTCCATGGTCTCTTTTAAAAATCCCTTGGTGTGGGCTCCTGTAAAATTCAAAACAAGTACTGTCGTATTTTAAAAGGGAAGAACTGGGCAGACCTAAGCAAAACCTAAGTCCAGCAAAGTAGCTCAAGACTGGACATCTGGGATTCACTCACAATCTTCTGGGCTCCAGAGTGTTCTGGCAGCTGCAGTTCTCTGACTCTGCCATCCACAGCACTCACAGCTCATCTCACAGACCCAGGCCAGCTACATTCCACACCTGCTGCTGCCCTCGGTGGTTGTCCCATGGTCCTGGCATCTCCAAAAAGCTGGGGTTTCCACTGAAACTGAGGCTGTACCTGCACCAGTGGCCTCATCTGGCCTCTTGGGGTACAGAGCCTCAGAGTTTCTCCAGGACCCCTTCAATCCTGAGGTTGCTGTAACTGAGGCTGAACCTTCACCAGTGGCCTTTCCTGGCCTCTTAGGGTGCCAAGTCTCAGGTGCTCTCTGTGAGCCCTTCACACTTTTAACCCCAGAACCATGCAGGAGACTCTTACATATTACCAAGTCCTGCTTCCAGCTTGAGATGGATGCTTGGGCCCCCTCTGGACCATAGCTGCTATGCTGACCCTGAGGAAATATGTCCCAGAAGATTTTGCCACAGTGATGCTGGTTTCTTGTTACTTACAGCTGATTTTTCAGCCCGAGCTAACCAACATCAATTGTCCCAGTAAAGCAAAGGTTTCACTTCAGTGGTTCTGGTCTCTTCTTAATCACAGCTGATTCTTCAGCCCCAGCTGACCAGAAACCACAGATTCTCAATTCAGAATATTCTATAAACAGCCCTGAGAGTCTCCACTTCCCTTTGAAGCTTCATAAACCAGGCCTTCATCTTCCACAACTCTTTCAGCATAACTGTTCCAAGCTCCACAGCAACAAACTAAGCGCTCAATGGCTTTTCCAGCCCAAAGTTCCAAACACTTCCAGAGTCCACCAAGGTCAGGTCTGTCACAGCAGTACCCCACAAAACTGGTACCAATTTCTGTTCTAGTTTGTTTCTCCATTGTTCTGACAAAACACTCTGACCAATACCAACTTGGAAAGGAAAGGGTTTATTTGGCTTACATCTCTCGGTTCACAGTTCATCTCAGAGTGAGCCTATGGTAGGAACTCAGGACAGGAACCTGGAGGCAGGAGTTGGAGCACAGGCCATAGAGGAACACTGCTTACTGGCTTGCTCCCCTGACCCCTCCTCAACCTGCTATTTTATATGACATAGGCCCACCTGTGTAGGGGTAGCACCATCTACAGTGGGTTGGGCCCTCCCATATCACTCAGTAATCAAGAAGATGTCCCACAGACATGGCCACAGGTCATTCCAATGGAGACAATTCACCAATTGAGGCTTCCTCTACCCAGGTGTGTCAAGTTGACAAACTCTCCAGCACACAAAGTTACCATTTCCAGGTAAATGTCTCTCCATCTGCTAGAAAGATGTCAAAACTTAAGTAGTTTTTCTCTTCTTTGTTTTGGTCTTTTGTTTTTGTTTTCATTGTGAGACAGTGTCTCATTTAGCCCAGATTGGCCGCAAACTCAGTATGTAGCAGATGCTAGGCTTGAACTCTTGATCCTCTACCACCACCTCCCCAGTGCTAGGATTACAAGCATGTGAGACCAAACCTGGCACATAAGTGCTTTTAAATGTAAATTTTTTAAATCTCACAAACCCCTTCCTTATAATGTAACTGAATTATATTATAAATGTTGTGAGACATGGGAAATCTGTATTTTTCTCTTGGTGAAACAGTGTTTGATAATCTGTCCGTTGCGCCTTGCTGTTTTTTAATTGCTTTGTATGTGTTCCCTGTTCTGTAAGTATAATGTATTATGATGCTTCATCTCCAGATTCGATCTGTATTGTTGTATTTCAGCAGTTGAGACCAGAAAATGATGAAACTGTATCTGTCTTCTTCTGGGGGTGTTGGGACTCACAGTTTAATCTGTTTGAATGATAAGATCTGCATAGTATATGGTTTATCTTAAGTGACCAGGACCAGTGTTAATAGTTAAAATGGTATGGAAATCTTGTATGCTCTGTAAATTGTTGCTTTATCTAGACAGGAAACTTCTGCACGGTTACCTGGGAAATCTCTTCTTTTGTAGCACTCAGCTCGTCATCAAATCTTTTATTTACTGAATTACTAGGGTGGCACATTAAGCAGAAACTATACTGCAAATTGAGTATTTTATTATTTTGTGTGCTAAAAGCCTAGATTAACAAAATTGGTTGGGTCTGTTAGCAGAATCTATCAAATCCATCTGTAATTCAGATCTCTAAATCATTAAAAAATTTTCATTTATTTTTCCAGGTCCCTATTTTTATTTTATGTGTATGAGTGTATTACCTGCATGTAGGTAGGTGCACCTATATCTCGCAGTGTCCATGGAGGTCAGAAGAAGGTGTCGAATTCCCTGGAACTGGAGTTATAGACAGTTGTTAGCTGCTATGTGGGTTCTGGGAACTGAACCCAGGTCCTCTGCAAGAGCAGTCAGTGCTCTTAACCGCTGAACCATCTCTCCAGCCCCTTAACTGTAGATTTTTAAACTCCTAGAATTATAGATCAGTGGAAGAAAATAAGAGATTTATTTTCTTTTTTTAATCATTTAAAAATATTTTAATTATCATTTTTATTTTATATGTATGAGTGTATTGCTTGCATGTATGTAAGTGCAGCTGTGTTGTGCAATGCCTGTGGAGGTCAGAAGAGGGCGTCAGATCCCCTGGAACTGGAGTTAGACGGTTGTTAGCCACCATGTGGGTGCTGGGAACCCAACTTGGGACAAAAGATTTTTAAATATTAAAATGTCCAATTGTGGCCTACATATTTTCTTGTGGCCAAATCTTTTTTAGAGAATTATTTAGTTAATATAGTTTTTTTTTGTTCCTTCCTTCCCTTTTCTCCCTTTCTCCCTCTCCCCCTCCCTCTCCCCCTCCCTTCCTCCCTCCCTCCCTTCCTCTCTTTCCTCTCTTTCCTCTGGCCTCAATCTCACAGAGATCCACCAGCTTCTGCCTCCCAAGTTCTGGGATTAAAGGTTTGCACCACCACATCCAGCCTATGGTTTCTTCTTTTAAATATAATGTGGGGCTGGAGAAATAGCTCAGCGGTTAAGAGGGTCTTATTAGCCCTCTTGCAGAGGACCCAGGTTTGATTCCCAGCGCCCACATGGTGGCTAACAACTGTCCATAATTCCAGTTCCAGGGGATTCAACACCCACTTCTGCCCTTTGCAGGCAGCATTGCACAAAACGGGTGTATTTACATATGTGCAGGCAATACACTCAATACACATAAAATAAAAATGATAAATATTAAAAAATTGTTCACATTCATTACTTAAATAGCTAGACGGTCTGAGCCAGTCTGAGCATGGTAGGAGAGATGATTTTTCTCTCAGTGAAAACTGTCTCACATGGCTTTGTCACTAGATAAAGAAACACTCAAGTAGGTAATATGGCTTTAGTAGGAATGCTATAAAAGATATGAAGTTTTAGACTAAACAGGAGAATTGACTAGCTCAACATAGTTTCAAGAGGTGATAAACAGGTCACAGTGTAGCCTCCTTCATGCGTCTCAGTGGTGCCCTTGAAGCACCATCTTGCCCATACAGTGTTAGCTTTTTCTGAAGGGGGAAATGTCAGACTAGTTACTTGTTTTTAATCTAACTTTGCCTGTCCAAATGAGCTAGAATACTTTTAGCCAAAAATTCTATACTTTGATCATGGTGATAATAAAGGACTGTTAAAAAAAAAAAAAAAAAAAAAAAAGGTAAATCCATCAAATTTGGTAGTTATTTTAAATTTCCCTAGTGAGGAAGTCCTTTTTATCAACCCCGCAGTTTCAGAGATGCCATTGTTAACAGGCTCACCCTTTGTAAAATATTCCATCCCTGGTTTGCATGTGGGAGAGAGGCGACTGCCAGTCATTCCCAGCTAATGAACAAGTACAGCATGATATTTGAGCAGGGATTTATGAATTAGGGTTTTTCAGCATTCAATACATATTTATAATTTTAGCTTATTTTACCTAGTCTGAGTTTGCAGCAAATGAGAAACAGCTGTGTGTGTCGGGGGTCTTGCTCCAGTGTGCTGTGCGCTCCTGGCAAGCATACCCCGAGCATGATGCTGCTGCATGCTCACCTGCAAAAGGAAGTGCTTTCAGATGTTTCTCCCATCACACAGTAGTAGCATTCTATAGAATACAAGCAGAGCTTCCCAGGAAGCCCATCTCCCATCTCAGGCAAGTGTGTGTGCCCACTCCCCACCAATCAGCAGAGCCAGGCTTGGGGCCTGATTCTACTTGGTCACCTGCATTCCTCTTGTGCCCCCATCCCCAGACTCATGTGTGACTTGGAGAAGGCCTTGGGCTCTGCATGCTGCAGTGGCCTCTCATCTCCAGATTGTGTTCTTACAGAACAGGACCTGTGAAAGTTCTCAGGGAAACTAGCACAAAGGGGCATCTGCTGTGAAAACTGTGCTGGCAGCAGCTGAGGGTGTGATAGGTCAGTTGGTAAACCACTTGCTTTGCAAGCATGAGGACCTGAGTTTAGTCCCTAGAACCCACATGAAACAAAAATGCCAGGTGCAATGGCACACACTTATAATCCAAGCACTGGTGATATGAGAGATAAAGACAGACAGATCCTTGAAGATTGCAGGCAAGCTAGCCTAGCCTACTTGGATTATTAGTTCAGGCCAGTGAAAAGGCTTTGTCTCATAAAAAATGGAAAATGCCGGAGGAACAACCCCCAAGGTTGTTCTCTGACCTCCAAGAATGTGCACGTGCGCTGTGCTGACAGGAGGTAGGGCTGGTGTGGACTCTGTCCTGTGTTCTCAATCCATCCTTTGGACTTGCAGCAGTATTTAGAACTTTCCCTCAGGACTTCTGCAAGCTCAGACCAGGTAGTGACATTTGTGAAGGGAAAATAAATATGTTCCCAGGTACCTGTTAAGTTTCCTGGCAGGTGATGGAAGCAGAGGAATTCCATTCCATTTATTTATTTTTTCCTCTGAGCTGTCTAGCTGAGACTTAGCACCCCAATGCCCTTGCCCTCCAAGGGTAGTGCTGTGCTCTCTAAACTCAAACTGGATTCCCGTCTCAGGGGCACTGTCCCTCCCTGGAGTACCCTAGTCACATTAGTATGGTCTCTATGCCTCCCTACCATAGGCTCTCTGATCCCATTTGAATTGAAGCTTCAGGAAGCCACCTTTGGTCCTTTTTGAAATAACTGCTGAGTTATAGAAACCTCAGCGTCCTTAGTTCCTCACAAGTGCACAGACAGGCAGACGTACACAGGCATGTACATATGCATACTTGAACCCCATGTGATTTAATGCAGCCAACTTATTCTATGGTTGGAAGAGAAAAAAATGAAAACAGTCTTATTGAGGAGGAAACTAAAACAAAAACTTGTTCTTTGTGTGGTGAAGTATTAATTTCGCTCCAGTTAACTTTGATGGAACTTTGTGAGGAAAGAGGAGACTCAGTGACACTGAGTGTAGCATTCTCCTCCTCCCCTCCCCTTTGCTTCTGTGTTTTTCTCTCTCTGATTTTCCTCTTCTGATCACTGCAGTCGGTTGTGGGGTTGGAGTGCCGATGGGCTATCGAAGCCCCCACCTCCCTTTTCTCAGCCTAACTCCATTCCCACCGCTCCCTCCCACAAGACTCTCAGGCGCTCTTACTCTCCCAGGTAACACGCTACCTGTTAAATTTGTCCAAGGTGTCACAATATTATGTTTCCAAGGTTGTCACGGGTCTTTTAGAAAGCCTCTCAGATCCTTTATAGTCCCGGCCTCTGCTTAGCCTTGCAGGAGTGGAACCTGGGTGAGAAGTGTGAGCAGCTATAGGCTCAGAGCCCAGCTCTGACAGTAACCCTTTTGCCAACCTATTAGATTGATCACCTATTACTCTCATGAGCTTTTTGGCTTAATGTAGCATTCAGGATGTGTCATGAAGTCTAGGTGGGGCAATGGTGGGCACAGTTTCCTTAGCACAAATCTCAGGTGCAGAGGGGTTCCACTAAGGAACACACAAGACTTGCACCTTCCACATGTCACTGCCAACCCTCCTGCAAGTGCACAGACCAGCTGCTTTCCCTCATGTACTGTCACACCAATCCAGACAGGAAGCTCTGCAAGGTGCCATCATTGGTCCATTTCACTAAAGATGCCCTACTTAGGACTGAAGCAGAAATTCCATGGTAGAGTGCTAGCTTAGCATACCTGAACCCCTGGTTCAGTCTCCAGTATTGCCAGACAGACAGATAAGGAAAGATTCCCTATTTCCAGGCAGGAAGTTATCCATCCCTGGCAAGTAACTGCCTTTGGTGGCAAGTAAAGCTGGCCAGCACTGGCTGAGTGACAGTGATAGAAGTCTAGAAGGACATGGCTATGGCTTCCCTCTAGCATTAAAGCAGAGTCTCTTCTGGGGTCCTACAGTTCACTAGACACCTGATTGGGGTTTCCTGGATATATGTTTTAAAGGTCCAAAGACAAGACAGTGCCTTCCCTAGAAGCCTAGGAGTGATTACATGAACAGAGCACAAGGCAGCCCATGTGTCACTGCTTTGTGAGAGGAGTGTTTACTGTGTGATAGGATAAAGGGGCTGGTGAGATGGCTCAGCAGGTAAAGGTGCTTGCTGCCCACACCTGATGACCTGAGTTCAATCCCCAGAACCCATGTAAAGATGGAAGGAAAGAACCCACTCCACAGAGTTCTCTTCTGGCCTCCAGTGCATGCCATGACACCCACACAAAATACCATGCACATGAACACAAAATAATGAATTTTACATGAAAACAAAAAACAAACGCCGGGCATGGTGGTGCACGCCTTTAATCCCAGCACTCGGGAGGCAGAGGCAGGCGGATCTCTGTGAGTTCAAGGCCAGCCTGGTCTACATAGTGAGTTTCAGGACAGCTGGGGCTACAGAGAGACCCTGTCTCAAAAAGACCAAAAAAAAAAAAAAAAAAAACCTTAGAACGTGAACAAAGAGAAGCACCAGCCACTTGTTACTGTGCAAACACTTATGGACAGACTTGCTGCATCTCTACTTTTGTATCATCAGCCTAGCAAAATTGAACACAGTAAACCAATCAGCTGAATACTTTCATGTCTTTCTTTTGATGTTTGAAGGTACCAAGAACCCTGTGGTAAATATAGAGTAGATCCATGAGGTTAGGACAAGCAGACAGGATAATGCTGCTGTCTCTAGTATTAACAAAACTTGGTGCTTTTTCTTAAGGTTAGCCTTGCCGCCCAGTGTAGATCTGTTTCATTGACTGTGTCCCAACATAATGCCCTGTGTTGCATGCCTTTCCGCACTCTGAGCTTCATCCCAGCCCATCTTCCAGCAAGCGATCAAGATTGCCCTCCAGAGGACATCCCTTTCCAGAATCATCTTTCCCATAAGCACACATGTGTCAATCTAACTCACTAGTGGATAACACAATGCCTACTTAGACCTTGGGATGTGGCTCAGTGGTAGAGTGCTTGCCTAGCATGTATGAGACTCTGGTTCAATGCCCAGGACTGAGATAGGGGAAAAAATGCATACCTAGAATTTCTGTTGCGTATCCAAGGGAGAGAAAGCTGACTAGAGACTTAACATTTAGGAGACTAATAAAAGATAGCATCTGTCTGCCCAAATCCTATTGCTCTCATAACAGAGCTATTCTCTTTCTCCATACCTAGTATTTTTATCCCTCAAGATGAGAGTGAAGAAGAGAGGCTTATAGGTAGATTTTCTTGCTCTATTTGATCTTCTCTTGTCTCTCCCAACCCATCTGGTTTTGCACAGGGCAGGCACCAGGCTGCATTAGGCTGCAGCTTTGGTGACATGACCTGACCTTAGGTCAGTGTCTATTGACTGAGTGACTCCTCCTAATCTAAGACTGCTAAGGAAGCCCCTTGGTGTCCAATCAGAGTGTTTACATGTGATTAGGGCCTGGCCTTTAACCCAAAAGATTATGTCCTGGAATTGTCTCTGAGCTCAAACAGGGAACTGTGTGGCATACTCAGCTTAACTTCACAGGACCTCTTTACAGTCAGCTTCGTAGGGCCTTCCCACTACTCTCCTTGTATCACCCCTCAAGACTCAGGATTGGGAGCTGGAAAGGTGGCTCAGTGGTTAAGAATGCTCACTGCTCTGTCAAAGAACTGGAGTTTGGATCCCAGCACCCACGTCCACATCAGGCAGTTCATAAAAGCCTATAACTCAGCTAACAACCTCTTCTGGCCTCTGTGGGCAACACACACACGCACACACACACACACACACACACACACACACACACACACACAAACAAACAAACATAGGCATAAAAAAAATTTTAAGTCCTTTAAAAAAAAGGGGGGGGAGTCCCTTTTATCCTAAGACATGAAGGCCTTTAGGGTATTGATCTAAAAAAAAAAAAAAAAAGAGGCAAAGACTGTCACTGGACAGCAGCCCTCTTCCTCATCTAGAGCTCATAACTTCAGCTTCATTCCAGTGGGTAGTCACACATTCAAATGAGTGATCCGTAGGGAGTGGCCTCAGATGAGGATGCACACGCTGCTCCCAATTGGACAGGTAGAGTCGTCTCATTCCTTGACAGTGAGAAGGCGAGCCTCAGCCGGTAGAGCCTTATTTTCTCATCTTCCAAAGAGGCTATTGTGGTGATGCAGTCAACTGAACCAAAGTGAAATATTTGAAGGGAGTTTGGATTGAAAAATCATGGGGTGAATTTATCCGAAAGCCAACATTGTCTGAAGCGACACATGGAAAATAATATTGTGACATCCCATAAAAAACTGAACGTTTCTCCAGCCGCCTCTCATCCACCCATCATTCAGTTGTTTTGTTTTTTTTTTTGCATGTGCTGTGCTCTTTGGTTGTTGTGATTAAAAATATTCAAGGCATTCTTTTACATGTTGTGTATATTTTTTATTTGAATCATAATCAGCCTTTAACGTATAAAAATAGTATACTGGTCAGATGTATAAATGCCTCTGTATGTAAGCTGGTATTGCAGAGTTCCTAGGATGGGGCAGGGAACCTCTGCCCTCCCCAGTCATGCTTTAGCCCTTCTGGGGAGCTGCCTCGGGCATAGCCCATGAACTCAGAATGGCTGAAACCTTGGTGTTTAGTTCGCATTTTAAATTTTACCTCTCACTGGTGCACACAAGTTTCAGTTGCAGACATGTTCAGGGATCACGTTTCTTTTTGCTGGATGCCAGAACCAGTCTTTGAGTTGGCGTGTGTTTTTGTAAACTCTCCAAATACAGCTGGGATGTGGTTTTCTTCCATTTACTAGGAAAAAAGGATTCTGTCTGGGCCGGTTTTGCTGTGTTAGGCAAGTAGCTTCCATCTCTAAGAGTGAGCCCAGGGCTCTTGCGCCAGCCAGTCTTAGAAAATGCTTGGATCATTGTGCTCTCCAGCAAGCAAAGATCTGACCACTCCCATGACACTTTTCAAATCCAGGCTTTTTTTTTTTTTAAGGGGAGGTGCTTACTAAATGCTGATAGTTTTCAACTTATTGCAAGAAACTTTAACTTGTAACAAGAAACTTCTTGTAGACTGTAGGGGATTGACAGTGTTGCCATTAGGAATGGTTTCCCCCAGGGGGCACCTTGGTATCTGTTGAAGAACAGAAAGATTGAACTGCCAGTGCTGCATGCTTGCTTAACTCTCAGTGTAGCCCAGGACTTTCTGTGAGTTAGATGAGCGTGACACATCTTGTCTTCTCTCGACTACTTCCTTAAAGCCTAAATTATATTTTGTTTAACTGTCCTTGGTTGCTGTCCCGTCACGCTCTGCTTTCTCTATTTGTCTGTCCATCCTGTGTTTTCGTTGGTGTTCTTGGTGAGGGACAGTGGTGGATTCTCCCTGAGGAGCCTCTCTTTCGGTGCCCTTTTCAGACTTCTAAAGGATACTCGTTGACAGAACACCAAAAGGCTTTTTTTTTTCTTTTTTCTTCTGCTTTTCTTAAAAGCATTTCTGCTGTATTTCGTATTTTATTATTAGTGTCTCAAAGGACAGCAGTTGACATCAGTTTTCCATGAAAGACAAGTATTTCTTGTTTCTAGAAGTGTGTTTGTATGTTCTTCCAGGAAGGTGACTTATCTCTGTAAAATCTGCTTTAGTGAAAGAGTTTGATATTCCCAGATATTCCTTGGGTTAGACCATAGGGATTTAGACTCCCAGGGGTGCAATGGGGTATATCCAACTTTGAATCCCAAGCTAGTGTCTTATATTTTTTAAGGTGGGGTCTTATGAGTTCCTCTAGATTGGATTCTGATGTGCATAGCCCAGTCTTTGAAGTTCTTTGCTCAAAAATTTCTGTAATACTAGCTTATTTCCACGTGCCTATTCCTTTTCAGTTTGTACATTGAGACCAGTAACAACCAAAATACTTTTTCCAACATCTAGATAAGAAGGCTACTTTTCCACTTTCATTACCTCGTGCATTCAGTCACTAATGTCCCTTTTTAAGTTCTCACATTCTTGTGGTTTTTGTCGTTTCCCACTGGTTCCTGAGTGCTGGTGTAATGTGTTTGGGGCCAGATTTGACATGGAAGATGGCCAATGGTGGTACTCTAACAAAAGATGTGTCCTTTTCTTTCCAAATCACCTTTAAAAAAGTATGATTATATCTTACTCCAAATTTCTTAATAATTTAGGCCTTGATTTTATGCATATACCTCAGCTCTAAAAAAGCATATGATTTATTATTATTATTAAAAAGACTACGATACAGAGAACCTGAACTCCGAAGAGATCTACAGCTCTCTGCGTGGAGTTACAGAAGCCATTGAAAAGTTTAGTTTCCGAAGCCAGGAGGATCTGAATGAGCCAATTAAGCGAGATGGCAAGAAGGACTGTGATATTGTGAGTATCTGGGGCTGAGAGGAAACTGTGTGTCAGTTAAATGACAGGAGTTTGAGAATACTGAACACCACCCTAGTGTCAGGAGTTCTCTACCATAGAGTTGAAACACTACCCCAAGGCAATTTATAAAATTTTAGAAGAGTAGCTCTCAGCTTCTGCTCCTTTGTCTCAGACACATTTTTACTCCTATGATGTGGTAGTGTTAGAAATAAAATCCGAGGTCCAAGGACCCCATCAATACTACACAAAGAACACATGAATAAAGCAAAAGTAACTCGGCAAGGCAGCTTTTACTTTTGCAAAAGGGTATTTTGCTTGGTCAGTAAAACCCAGCAAACACACACAGGACCCAGAAACTTGCGGGGCAGGGGATCCCTAATGCAAGAGAACTGTGTCTTTTCCCCATTGACTGGGGTCCTGGTTGGCTAGTTTAAAAGAATCAACATGAAGGGAGAAGAGCTCCACTACACCAGGCCATCAGGCTCAGGAATGTATCAGGGCCTTTCCTTAAACAAAAGTATTACAGAGTGTGGTGTGATTAAAAGATTAGAATTCTTTGTCATAAATCAAGTTCCAAGTTTTACAGGGTTTGAAAGAAAAGACTAGATGTTTCTTACAATAACAGAGTAAGCTTGGAGGCTGGGGAGATAGCTCAGTTGGTGACGTGCTTGTCACACAAGCATGAAGACCTGAATTCAGTCCCTTTATCCCATATGAAAAAGCCAATGAGATGACACATGTCTCTAATCCCAGCTCTGGGGGAGTCAGAAAGTGAATCCCAACAATTCTTTCTGGTCAGCCAGCAAATCAGTTAAAAGTGAGAGGCCCTATCTCAAAAAACAAGGTGGAGAGCAACTGAGGAAGACACTTGAGATTAACCTTTAGCCCCCACGTGAGTGCACACACACACAGACACACATGTGAGTCTGAATCAGATACTAGGTTGGCTACCAGGAGCTCAAGTCTCATGAACAAGGCAAGCAGATAGCGCTATGATGCCATGGCTACCGTCATGATCTGTACCTAGTAGCTCTTACAGCCAGTGTGAGTATTTTGGGAGGAAGTTCTGGCAGGGTGATGCCCCTTTCTGTGCTGAATCCCAAAGGTCAGGAGTCTGCCAGTAGAAGGGTTATAGTTAAAGAAGAAGGCCTGTGTGAAGCCCAAGGGAAAAGAGTGGTGCAGTGTGGACTGCTGTTTGCTATGACTGAAGTAAAGATAGGCGAATTATGTTGATGGAGGAGATTCACACAGAGCCCAGAGGGTATCTCAGGAAGGAGGTCCACTACAGGGCAGTTTCTAGCCCATGCATGCTTCACTTTATCCTGGAGTACAGTGGAGTCTTTGAAGGGTATTTAAGCAATGTAATAGCACAGTTGCACTTAGATTTTAGAAAGATTATTGTCACAGTGGGATGGAGAAGAATTCCAGAGGAACAGGAATTAATAGGCTGTGAGCAGAAAGAGTAGTCGGAAGTCTATTGAGTCAGTGCTGATGTGATCTGCTGAGATAGTGTCCAAGAAGGAGAGGAAAGTGAGCAAGTAAGAGGTAACCTGTTCATAATGTGGACTCAGCTGTAGATATGTGGGAATGGCAGGGCCCGTGGATTAACTGCACAGGCTTAGAAAGTTATTGGTGTTAGGGCTTTAGGTCTCTCACTGAAGCAGAGATAGAGACTTGAGAGGGATTGAAGAATGGCTCAGTGGTAGGAAAAAAACAAAGAAATCTGAGTGATGAAGTGCCAGGCACTGTGTGAAGACAGAGCCCCAGGGAGCAGCAGTCTCATGGGAGGCACAACTGGGATGATGGGAGGAAGTCAGGGGAGCACGAGGTCTTGGAAAGCCAGGGAAGCACTTCAGAAAGGGAGCACAAGCATGCTTTCTCTGTGGGAATTCCACATGAGCTTGTATGTCTGCATGATAATATATGGGTATATCATACACAGGAACCCAGAGTTCTGTTTGGGATCACTTAGATGCTTTCTAATTTTTCCAGATATGAAAATAACTTTGATAAGAATTGAAAGGAGTGAAAATTGACAAGGAGAAAGAGGATAAGGCCCAAGATACTCTGTAAAATGGCAGTATTTGCATGTAACCTGTGCATATCTTCACATATATTTCAAATCATCTCTAGATGGCATGATACCGAATAGAATACCATGTTTTACACTGCATTGTTTAAGGGATAGTGATAAGGAAATAGTCTGAACTAGCAAGTGGCTCATCAGGTAAAGTTGCTTGACCTGAGTTTGATCCCTGGGACTCACATGGTGGAAGGAGAGAACCGACTCTCACAAGTTGTTTTCTGGGCTCATGTGCGCATGCACTCACACACACCAGAAAATAAGAACAATAAAGGAATAAGTAATTTTTAATTTTTTTGTTGTTGTTTTGGTCTTTTTGAGACCAAGAAGATAAAAATAATAAAATATAAAATAAAACAATACAATAAAATAAAATAGACTCTACACGTTTAGTATAGATATAGAGCTTTTCATGAACGTTTTGATATATAATTGAGGAGCCTGTTCCTATAAACGGCTGACTGTATTTCAGGGAGGGGGCTATTTTTGATCGACAATATGACTACAAAAGGAAGAGTAAAGAGAGAAGAGAACATCAGAAATAGGGCTACGTGTGTGTCATTTAATAGAGCTTAGGATGGTGAGGCCCTGGGTTCAGTCCTCAGTAACATGCCTGTGCATACAAGTGAAAATCCGACACTTTAGCCAGCAGTGGCCACATTTTTAGTTAAGAAATTGAGGTGAAAGTCAAAGCCAATATCTGTTAAGCTGTACAGGTAGACCTAGCTTGGCAAGACCAGGACAGAGTCAATAGGAAGCCCATCAAACTGGTGGGGAATGGTTCACACACATAAATGACAGCAATTACATATATAGAGAAAGTCCATCTTGAGCAGTTACAGAACAGGTACCAGATACCCAGTTCTATTCTGTCAGTAGACATTGCAACTTTAAAACAAGAAAGGTTTAATGGAGTCATATACTATTGGTGGTGTGTGAAATTGATAGAATTCTTTGGAATTCTATAAGATTATATTTAAAAAAGTAATTTTCATCTTTACCAATAATTCATCCTAAGTAAAGAACTCAGTAAAAGAAAAGAACAATATTTCCACAAAGTAATGTGTTTCATTATTATTTACACTATTAAAATAGGTTAGGGCTGGAGGGTGGTTAAGAGGCTCTTGTAGAGGGCCCAGGTTCAGTTCCCAGGACCCACATGGGCCTAACAGCCATCCTTAACTCCAATTCCAGGGGATCTGACACTCTTTTCTGGTCTCCACAGGCACTGCGCACACATGATACACTTACTTACATGTAAGCAAAACACTCATACACAGAAAATTAAAAAAATAATATCTTTATTTTAAAAGTTAGGTGAATACTTGAGTAAATTTTATTAAAGCATGAGTAAAAAGCTGTGGTGTAATTAAATATGATAACTGTAGAAACTTTATCCATACATAAATTGTTTATGCAGTTAGTAAAGCAAAGTATAAACTGATATATACACTGGGATTCCCACCTGGTAAAATCTACCATGTAGACAAGGATTGAGGTAAGAAATACAGATACATGGGGCTGGAGAGTTGGTTCAGCGGTTAAGAGCACTGACTGCTCTTGCAGAGGACCCAGGTTCGATTCCCAGCACCCACACGGCGGCTACAAACCGTCCTTAACTCCAGTTCCAGGGGAATCCGAAGCCCTCTTCTGACCTCCACAGCATTGCACTACATGGGTGCACTCACATACGTGCAGGCAGTACACTCATACACATTATAAAATAAAAATAATAAAATATTTTTTAAAAAAAGAAATACAGACACGTAAAAGGAATATTGGAGGACTGCTGAGATGACTTGGGGTAAAAGCACTTGCCATGAAGCCTGACAACCTCAGATTGATCCCTGAAACACATGTAAAGGTAGAGAGAACTGACTCTACTAAGTTGTCCTTTGACCTCCTTTGGTGCACATGCACACACACAAAAATACACGCAAATAATAATAAATAAATAATGATAAATGTGTTTTAAAGATTTTTAAAGTGATTCAAACTTGTAGCTTATTTTAAGTTTTTTTTTAACTTTCATAATTGAACTTTCATTATAT